TGGGTGGTAAATTGTACCAAAAGCATTTACCCCCGAGCCACACTCGGGCGTCTTCCGGGTTCCTTCCCTGCGAGCGCCAGCATTGCAGGGGGGTGGAACCGGCGAGAAGTTCAAAAGTAAAAAAAATGGGAAAAAAATACTGAGATAATCATACCGCCAGGGAGGTTAATGAATCGGTGTTAATATATTAGAAGTCTGTCTTTTGTATATAGGTATTTAGATCATGTACTTGGTGAAAGCCCTATTTGTGCATTTACATATGTAGGATTTTTTTCTTGCTTATTATTGGTGCACAGTAATTGTGATTTTCAATTGCTCCTGCTCACAGTGCAGGTCTACCAGTCAAGTCTGATAAGTTGAAAATAATGCAAGCTCTGTGTGGCTCAGATTTTATCTCAGCAGCTGTTGGTCAGGGAGGCTAGGATACAGGTTGTCACTAGAGAAATATAAGTCTATATGTGTAATAATGAAGGTATTGTTCCCCATGTATTTAAAAATGTGCAGGTCTGATTTAAAATAATGCTAATGTAAACATTACAATATTAACTCAACATATACCCGTTTGTTGTTAAAAATACAATGTAGTTTCCCATTAACTAGAAAATATGTTCTTAAACTCAAAACTAGCTTTTTTAGCCCAAAGGCAATCAAAGGGCGCTTATACCAGCTTCATGCTCACAGAAGATTATGAAAAATATACAGATGTTTATAGCCAGGGCTTGAAAAATCCACTTGTCTGCTCGTCTGTGACGAGAGGACGGTGGAGCCCGACTAGCAGCTTCCCGGCCGGCCATTGTAATTACACGGACAGTTGGGAGCTTTACATTCAAGCGATCGGGCGTCTCTAGAGACGCTCGATCGCTTGTATTAGCAGCTGTCACTACTGTTGCCGGTCCAGAGATCCACTGTGCCCGATGCGGCCGGGACTGGCACGGCTCTGTGACAGGAGATCAAAGGGAGATCAGTATACGGTCTCCCTTTTGATCTTCTCTCAGTCCCTGAATGCAGGAAGTGATGTATATTACATCACTTCCTGCATTCAGTGTCACTCTCCAGCTACAGAAGCTGATGAAGCCTGATGTCTCCATAAAGAGGACCTGTCATGTAAATTGGCTATCACATAGGGGGATTCTTAGCCCCCCTATGTAATGGCAATAAAGTTGTGTGTAAAAAAAAAAAAAAAAGGTAACAAAAAAATGATAGAATCATAAAAAAATAAAGCATTAAAAAAAATTAGAAAACAATTTTTTAAGTCCCCGCCCCCCACATACACACGCAGATATGCGTCGGGTGCGCCTACGTGCAAAAACGACGATTGCACTTATTGTGCCGCACATGTTGCATATCACCGCAAACTGAGTGAGAGCAATAATTTTAGGGCCATTAATCACTGATAACACTAAACTGATGAGCAATAAAAGCGTTTTAAGCGTTTTTTTGTGGGCGCATGCAATTTTAAGGCTTGACATGTTTGGTGTCTATTTACCCGACGTAATCCCGACTTTTATGTGTTACCAAAAATATGGGTTCCCTATGTTCTGTTACGTTCTGTTAACAGAACGTAGGGAAACTTTGTTGTTTTTTTTTTTTTTTTTACACTTATGGTACTTTTTTCATTATATAGTAAAAAAAAATAACCCACCTTCCCCCCCCCCAGTGGTGAGTATATACCTCCAAAAGAAAGCTCTATCTGTCCCCAAACTTTTTTAACATAAATTGCAAGGCTATAGTCCAGTCATGCTGACTGGTGATATTTTTGACTGACTGGTGAGACACCCTAACATTTTTCAAGCCCTGTTTATAGCCATGATCAGTTTTATAAGTGGCAACAAAGTATGCCACTGTTACCCAGTATAACAGGTGGTCATGCCCATTTTGCTACATAGTCGTTTGCTTGTTCAAAAATTTAATTTTTTGGGGCTCATGTAGGAAGTTCTATCAGACAGAGCAACCAATATGTTGTGGTGTGTTTGAGTTAGGATGTCTGTTTAAAAGTGTTACGGAGCTGTCCCATCACATACTCTGGCTAATACCTCATGAAAGTGGCTATAAAAGTGATAGGTGTAGTGACCAAAACTCTCATTGCTGTCTTTTTCTTGGGGAAATGACAAATACTACTTTGTCTATTTTTTATGTCAGCCCCTATCTATACTTGCAGTTTTATTGTTTAAAATATTTGCTATTTTCATTGCTTTTTATGTTGTATATGTTATCATAGTTGTTTATCAGATGCTCTACATTGTTTAAGTCGATAAAATATATTAAAAATGTCATGTTTTTTCCTTTCTCACTCTTAGATGGACTTCATAATTCCTCGGATATCTGGGCCTCTTCGGGTGGTATTGGACAAGGCAGTTATGGCTCTATTCTCAGCAGCTCTCAGGCTTCTCTTTCCCAGCCCTCAGGTTTCACTGGCCTACATGCCCACGAACGGATAGTAAGTACTGACAAAACTGCACTTGTTAAGGAGGACCATGGTATTGAGAAGTAATTTGTTAGTATTTTTCAGCAAATATAGGATACACGTGATGTTTTACTCTTATTGGGTTAAAACAACACCATTAGTTTAATGTCTTAACCTATATTTGAATAACCTGAATTTTTCCTAAAACAACCTGTTAATTGTTGATGTTTTAGATTTGTAGCAATAAATTTCATGTATGTGTGTTACCATTGTCATTCTTCTCTTCCCAGGGATTTCCAGTGCATTCTAGTGAGGTGAACCCTGCTGTGTCAAGTTTCTCTTCTGGTGCACAGTATGGCGTTTCTACACATACCCCCCCCATTAGTAGCGGAGACACCATGATAGGTATGCAGTTTAGACTGTTGTCCAAATCTATTGGTAATCCCATTCTGTATAAATCAGCACAGTTAATGGTCTAGCAATTGGGGAGGGGGAAATTATTTAATATTTTGTGTGGTTTTTTTTCTGTAGGAAACAGAGGGAATACCACTGGCAGCTCAGGAGATGCACTTGGAAAAGCTTTAGCTTCTGTAAGTCAATTTATTGTTTATATACCGCTGGAATTAATTTACAATTAATGAGTACAGGGATAACACGGCAACTGATATTTATATAAAACCAATAAAAAGCAAACATTAGCTAGCTGCATCGCATATAGCCACGCAGTATTGCCACAAGGTAATTTCAAAACCGCAATTCTTTTGTGTTTAGAAAAAAAAAAACGTTTATGGTTTCCCTGTCCCTCTAATCAGACAGATGTGTAAGAATTAGTGCAGAAAAAGCCTTTCTACAATATGTAAGAATAATTTGCATGATCAGGTATTGATTGTACTTAGTGGTTTTTAGCTGCTTTGTATTTTAGAACAATATATTGCTTGTTGATTCATACACCGATTTTATGACCTTAACTTTGGTGCTGAATTGTTAAAACTGCAGAAAAGAAAATGACCAACACCAGAGTTGTTGTCAGCACTCAGATTACACCTTTTTTTTTATTTCATACAAAATTTAACAAGAACTCTGAGTGGTTGGTTTGAACAGCAGATCCAATTTTGAACCATTTTCTATTCTCCAGGTTTGAATCAGACAGATTTGTTTCTTGTGGATTTAACACTTGACTTAACCCTTGTTAATTCTTTTTTTGTAGATTTATTCTCCCGATCATTCCAGCACAAACTTTTCCTCTAGCCCTTCAACACCTGTGGGGTCACCTCAGGGAATGACAGGTCTGAGATTTTTCGATGTTTGCATGTGTTTGTATTTAATATCGGAACTAATTTTCATTACACACATTAGAAGCGGCGGTAATTCTTTCTTTGCACCCCAGTTGTATATTTTGGTACATGAGGACTGAAAAACTTTTCTTACTGGGGTACCAGGCAATAAAACACACACTCACTCACTCGTACATTTCCCAGTATTAATATGTCTGTATTTATGTTTTAATTAGGAACAGGGCAGTGGCCTAGAGCAAATGTGCCAGGAGCCCTGAGCCCCAGTTACGAGGGCACACTACACACATTGGTATGTATGCTGAAAACTTTTTTTTCACCTGTGTTTGATGTTTAAAAATGTTAGATATAGTTGACAATACAACTAATTACACATGCCTTATTTTACTTCCAAAACAGAACAAGATGGAGGACCGCCTTGATGAGGCCATCCATGTTTTAAGAAGTCATGCGGTGGGACAGACTGGTTCTCTCCCAGGGGGCCATGAAGATATGCATGCACTCTTAGCAGCAGGAGCAGGGGTGCTCGGAGCCAACTTTTCGAGTGCAGTGCTTTCACTGGCAAATCGACACTCCATGGTTAGGATTTGTTGGCACTATACATACCTAAATGCATACATAGACATGCATACATACATGAATTAAAAACAAAACAGCCTTTTTTGCATCTTTAAATGTGTAGGTTGTGTTCAGGAAGCACAGTGACGATGTGCAAGTGTCTTTAGACTAATGGAAAACAGATTCTGCATGGCAATTTGATAGCTCCGTGGTTCAGCAGCTGATGATTTTACTCCCTTACAGACAGTTATTAGGGACTCTACAAATTGGGAAAGAAACTAAAAAAAGATGTGTATGTCCAACAAGAAGTGTGGAACCCCTTTGTAAAAGCTATGGCAACTATACAGGCCTTGAAACTCAAGCTCCAAGATCTTGGAGCCCCTATAATTGTAAGGTATTTCAACTCTTTTGTACATACCAGAAAGGAAATATCTGGATTGACTGACCTTTTTAAGTTCCACAGTCCAAAAGTAAGAAGGCAAATCTATATTCTAGTTTAATTACATGATGATCAGACTCGACTGACTATGCATGAACCTCTGATATCTCAGTGGTTCAGCAGGTGATGACTACACTCTGCTCTCCTCCTTTTAAATTTGCAATTGTATTAACAGAAGAAATGTAAGCTGTTAACTTCTGTCTATACTTATTTCTACCAAACTTGTTGTTTTAGGCTTCAAGCCAAGCAGAAGATGGGATATCAAATGCACCCAGTATGCTTCATAACTCAATCACGCTACCCATACAGCAAGGATCTCTGCCTGATCTTACCAGACAAACCGATTCCTATACCGGTAAGAATAAAAAGCAAGATCATTAACTATTAGAAAAAATCCTATTCAGTATCATTTATGGAGAAATTTGTATTGAAAATGTCTTTGACTGTGTGGTGGTCAGGTTTTGGTTCTATTGTATTAGGTTAAAAAGGTAATATGTATAAGGCACACAGATTTTCCTAAAGTCTGGTTTTTGGCTGTTATTTTTAAGAAGTTCTAATATTCCTTATTTCTTCAGCTATTAAGCCTGGAACTTTGAGAGCACAATGCTTATGATTCTTACAGAAGGATTGAGTATTGAAGTTGATTACCACCTCTGAGAAGGAGCTATTACTATCTGTGATATTATTGGGAACCTAATATAATATTTTCAATGAGAGTATCTATTGTTAGCTTCTATGTGCTTGTTTATTGAACATTTTGTTCAGTTTCCCTTCCCATTTTAGGTCAGTTGTCTGATGTTTGATTCAATTCCATATTATGGCATATTATGTTAGAGGAAAATACATTTAGAGATTTGCCAAAGATTTAGCAGTGCTGAATAGAGAGTCAGATCATAAAAGGACAGTAGATTATAAATGTTGCCAAATTAAGAATTGAACGGTGCAATAGCATTCTTCCAATTAGTCATGTTTACACTGGGAATCCATATTGCAAAATTTTCAATTGGGCTACCTAAGTGAAGTCATGTTGGGTGTGATCAGCTTAATTATGTAAATCATGGAGGGAGAGCAGTCTGGGTTTTTGAAGGGTTAACCAGAAGTTGCATATGCCTACTCAAGTAAGCTTTTAGATTCAGCCATCCTCAAAATAAATGTAACTGCTAGTATCACAGTTTACCAAATTATTATGTTTGGATCTAGGAGGGTGGACCTATGGTAGTCTTGGAGATTTTCTAGACCCATGCATATTATTCTGTGTTTGGATATCACCTGAAATGTGGTCTTGGCTCTTTTCACTAGCCAAAGGAAGCATTCTATTTAAACTGTATAATGGTAAGGAAATCTGAAGGGAGTGAAATCTTTTATCCTTTTTTCCTTTTGCAGGACTTTCAGCAGTAGCCAGGGCTGTTGTGTCATCTGCAATATCAGACATTAAAAGGGAAAGTAAAGAAGATGAAGAGAATCGTTCAGTGGATGATTTGTCAGACGATGAGAAGAAGGATTCTAAATCGCAGAGGAGCCGGACACGCTGCTCAGTGAACAGGTCTTATTAAGTGGGAGGGAAGCATGCACTCTAGGGAAAGATGGGTACTATGAATAGGCATTTTTTGTTCACCTAGCAGTAGCTGCCTTGAGGAGGCTCTTGTCCGTTTAAAAAAAAAAACAAAGCATTCTAAGAAAACTAAACATGTATAATACTTGCCAATACCACCCCTTTTGCAACTGATCTTTGCTCTCTGAATAGAATTTTCGGCATTAATCTCCTTCCATCCCAGCCGTAATGTCACTAGTTTGTCCCTTCTGAGTTGCAGAGGCACACTAGTTACTTGGTGGCACCTGAAAATGTCGGATGATGAAGATTCTGCCAGCACTTGTAGCTGTGCAACAGTGCAAAGACTGGCTGCAACAGCGGTTTTGGTAAGCAAATGTCTTACAATTTTTAAAGTGACAAGAAAGTTTCACAGCAGTGGATACTGATGATTTATAGGGTAGGACCACTTCTAATCCAAAGTATATTTTGCTTGGCAATGGATTATTTTAGCACCCACCTCTGCCCCAAATAGCTCCTAATTTTCCTATATACACTTATCCTCTTAACTCCACCTTCCCTCTAGTCAAGATGAAGATGATGAGGAAGATGATAACCTTCCTCCAGAACAAAAAGCTGAGCGAGAAAAGGAAAGGCGAGTGGCCAACAATGCCAGGGAACGGCTTCGAGTCAGAGATATCAACGAAGCATTTAAAGAGCTGGGGCGGATGTGCCAGCTGCACCTAAACAGTGAGAAGCCACAGACCAAGCTCCTGATTCTGCACCAGGCCGTCTCTGTGATCCTGAGCCTGGAGCAGCAAGTGAGAGGTGAGCGGGACCTGATGCGAAGTAGTGGGGCATGGATCTGTCTGTCTGTTCCTCCCTCCTCCTCTGCCCTCCACCAATGGGATATACATGCAGAGTACCCCTTCTAACTCAGTCTCCTGCTTTGGGGCATTGCATGTATACTCTTCTCCCACTCCTTGCTTGCTAGTGTTTTGCATTATCCCTTTCTTTATCCAGAAGGGACACATTTAGTTGATGTATGGTTTGAAACACCAACAATCAGAGACAAACCAAAAATTGGACTACTGTCTCTTTGTGAGATATTGATCTGTTATATTTAAAGGCCTCCATTCATTCATTCATTCCTTTATTCCTTTATACATACATACATACATACATACATACATACATACATACATACATACATACATACATACATACATTATTGTGAAGGGGGAGTGTATGACCAGGCTAACTAAAATACCCAACTCAAAAAAAATCATACTGAATATAATACAGACCCTTAGGTGGACAGAAATTGGTTATACAAACCTTTTGCAGCTCTGATGTGAGGATCCAGTAGTTCTTCCCACCTCAAACTAAAGAACAGAGCTGGATCTACATATTAAGGGTTACAAGGGTAAGTATAATTTTACACATTGGCCTTCTACTGATATTCTCCACTCAAAATAAATGAAAACTTTGGGTGAGACTCTTCTTTAAGGTAGTAGGGATATGTAAGAAGTAGATGTTTTAACACTTGTGTTTGTAACTGGCTGTGCATGCTAAATCTACTCATTTTCAAAATAATGCATCCATTTCTGTGCAAACCTTTTTATCCAGAATCTAAAAATATTATTGGTGAGGCGTATGGATATTACCTCTGCTGTTCCGACTTCCCAATTAGTGGGTACAATTCAGTCTGTGCTTTGCTCTTCTTGCATCAGTTCTTTTACACGTGTCTTTATAAAGCTTCATCTTTACTTTTTTGTCTCATTTTCCTACTCTTCATTCTACCATCTTATATTTTTCACAGACAGTTCTCCAAACCCTACCTCCTCCAGTCCTTGCATCCTCTTGCCCCTTCCACACACACTGCCCAATTGGCTTTGCACTCACTGCTCATTTGATATGGCAGCTGGGGGACCTGTGGTTCTGGTAGTGCTTCTGTTACATGCTGCACCAGCTCTGTACTCGAGTATATACAGATGCAGTATAATATTTAATTTTCTTCCAGAGAAAAAAAACACACTTGAACAGGCATTGGAATATAGTTCATATTTGTAGTATGCCAAGGTAAGGTCTTGTAAGTGTAAAACTACTCCTATCACGCCAAGGTTAGTGCTAATATGAAGAACAAAATGAGTATGTTAGAGCAAGCATATTAATTAGTTCAAAAAAATATTCTTTAGTTTTTCAGACTGAGAATCCTCATGTTTATGCTAAGCTTTTTGTTGGGGGGGGGAGGGGAAGGATGCGGGCGGTGTTGTGTGTTTGTGTGTGAATGTACGTTTAGTTACCAACAGATTCAAATCGATGGCCTCCAAAATAATTTGGTCAGTGATGTAACCATTTAGTTTTGCCTGATCCGTTTATAGCGATTCACTACCTTACTTCTCACTTGCTTTATGTTTGACTATTGTCAAAGTAAAGATGCTATTGATCTAGAGTCTGACTGGTATCAGTAATACAGAAGAATCTGAGCAATGATTCCCTTTCCAAGACTTCCCAGTGAAAATTAAATTAAGCAGGTATACTGGCTGCTGCTTGCTTTTAATACTTTTTTTTTTTTTTATGAGCAGCCAGTCCTTTTGTTTCTTCATGGTCACCCATGCTATATGGCTGTATTCCTCCAAAGTCCTATTCACATCTTCTAAAACGGCAGTTTTTACATTTTAGTCCTCAACTACTTCTGCATGCAGAAACTCTGTACCGTAAAAACACCTGTTCCCCCCATTACAAGGAGAGACAATTAGTGTCCTACCCCTATTCCTTAACATAATAAAGGCTTGCAGATAATTACGCATAGCCCTACTTAAAAACCTCCTTGAAAAATATCCCTGGTTCCCCACAGCAGCTACAGATGCTTAATCTCCTTTGTTGTACAGGTAGAGATACCCATGTTCATGTTTATGACCTTGCACATTGTGACTGGGGGGTGACCATACACCGAATCCTTGATGTGTTTGGGAAGGTTTTAGAGCATTCTGCAATTTCCAACTACCATAATCAAACCTTTTCAGTGCCTTATGGGTATATATTCTTTTTTTTGCCTGTATTTTTACCTGCAAGATGTAGCAAAATATTAAACCACTACAAACAACATAATTTGTCCCTAATGGCTATTTATACCTGGAATGTATCAAAATATTTCTAAGCCACATTAAGATACTGGTACCATTTGAGGTATTTTGTTTTTCAACTCTGTTTTCTAAAACATCAAGATTTAAGCCTATATTACTGGCATTTTATGTAGAAATAATGATGCTCATGGGCGGAGTTGTTGAATTCTATTTATATTCAGGCAAAACAGAAGTAATACCTTGTCCAAATTAAGATGGTAACATAGGACAACTTAGTGTGTTTTCATCCATAAAGCTGAAAAAAAGGTGTTCTCTACGAAATTTCAGTTGATTAAATATTGCAGAGATGGAGCCACAAAATATAATTTTTCCTTTGGAGCTCTTACTAAACAAAAAGTTATATGAAAAAGTGTTTTATTGTACATTTGCAATTCTATATTTTCATCCATCAAATTAATCATTGCAGGCACCTATCAACGTAGAGGCAAATAGTTGCATTTTATGAGCTATATGCCTGTTTTTGTAAAATGGCTTGTCGGCCTAATTTCTTTGGTGACGCTGCTGTACAAGCCACTTTTTTCCTTGGCTTTTTCCTTTTGATACAGTAGATCCCAGAACACTTTTTGCGACAGAATAATATCAGGATAATCTTAACTGTAGTCATTAAGGTCCACTGTAGTAGACCTGTACATTTATTGGTCGATGTTTCGACAAGGTACTGCTCGTCTTTCTCAACCAATAAATGCATCTATGTTGCCTCATTACAAGACCCATGAGTGCCTATTCCACTGAACCATTTATATATAATTGCCTTGAGTGCACCTGGGCAGTTTTTACTGTGTGGTGCCAACAATTTAACTTGCGTATTACAATGTTTTTCGGTCCTGATACTGCCGCTATGCTGAGATTTCCCTTTGCTGTTAAAACAGAGTCACTCAGCTAACTATAGGGTCGCTCAGAGGAGGCCTAATAAGAGAAAGATACTAGGTATCTTCTAAATGGCCACTATAATCAATAGCGCAACTGAGTTTTAACCTCCCTGGTCGTCTGATTATTTCTTTCTTTTTTTTAAATTCCCGCCGGTTCCGTCCCCCTGCGACACGGACACTCGCAAGGGACAGAACCTGGAAGACAGATGCCGGCATCGGCCGGAGGACACAGCGAGGCTCGAGGGACAAGGTGAGTAACGCTACTGTGTAATCCAGAGTGGGCTCGGGGTTAGTGCTTATGGTACTGAAAATTAACCCCGAGCTACACTCGGGAATACCGCCAGAAAGGTTAATGATTAAAACTGAAGTTCTTCAAGTAGGCAGGATGGCTTCAATAACTGACCTGGGAACTCTTAAATTTTCTTGCCTGCATATAGATAGAATATCAACAGCTCTGTCTGTTTGTCTGTGTCTGAGTGAGTGGGCGTATGTGTCATTTGGCACCCCTGGTAATGAAAGGTTTAATGGGGTTCTGAGCTAACCCCTCCCCCTTTAACCCTTCACTTTCCTGGGGTCCAACAGCGGAGGAAGCGTTAAGGAGGAAAACACTGTGGAGGACAAGGACGGGCGAGATCGTGAGAGGAGGATGTCAAACAACGCGCGAGAAAGAGTGCGTGTCCGTGATATCAATGAGGCTTTCAAGGAATTGGGCCGCATGGTGCAGATGCATTTAAAAGCAGACAAAGCCCAGACCAAGCTCATCATCCTACAACAGGCCGTGCAGGTCATTATGAGCCTGGAGCAGCAAGTGCGAGGTATCCTCCACTAAAATCCACAACTTTATATTCCAGCTAACTTTTTTTTCTTCTTCTGAATCCATTTAACCTAGTCACTTTTCCACTTGATCCATCTTTCATAGATACTGAATTACAACAAACTAACCATACTCTTAACACCTGTCTTACAACATTTCTGTTTATTTCAACACACATCTCTTGCAGGTTTTTACACCAGTTGCAAAACATTTGCCCTCACATCAGGATCCTTTTTTGTACTGCAGTGTTTTAGGCTTATTCTCAACTATGTTAAAACATTAAGGTTTTTACTAAATATGTTCCATATAGTTGTGAAAAGTAGGATTTTATCACATTCTTAGTTCATTAAGCAAGCACATTAAAGTAAACTTATCAAGAAAAATATGAAAAAAATCATAGGCAGCATTTACCTTTTAAAGCGTTTGTATAACCAAACATTTTTATATTGGTTTTAGATTAGGACCAGACACATGAAGTAAGGGGAAGTCTCTGCAAAGTGAGGGCAAATCCCATCTTAGACACTTGTCACTGGAACTCTTCTGGTGACAACTGTCAAAGTTGGTATTTCGCATCAGTTTCGATCTCTGTGACGTGTTTTCAAGAACATATAGGGTGAATCCAGGGGCGTATCTGCCGCGAGGCAAACAAGGCGTTTGCCTGGAGCGGCAGATTCGCTGAGAGCGGCGTTGTGCTAGCTACCGGCTGCTGCTTTGTGTCGTGGTGCTGTGCTGTCCATGAATCGGCGGGTCAGTCCGGGGGGGCGGCGTTGCTGCCTTGCCTAGGGCAGCAGCAAAGCTAAATACACCGCTGGGTGAATCTACCTAGTTGTGAGACATAGCAATAAAAACTTGACTGGGTTTCTAATCCCTCACCAATCTATCCACAACTAAAACAAAAACATTTTGGTTAATACATGCTTTAATGGAGAGCTACATGTTTAAAATGAGTAGTAGATCTAAGATATAGGCAGCTGAAATATGGAAACCTTGACATTTCACATAGTCAATCTCTCCTCCCCATTGTCTTACCATAAGGATGTTTGCAGAGGTACTGACTGTTTTTTGACACGTGGAACTAAATATGCCCCCTATTTTTCTCCAGTGTCTGCAACAAGCGTTAAAGGCACAAGTCTTGTATAATTTGTTTCCCCCACTGTGGTGCTGTGGTCAGGTCCTTAGTTAAAATTCTGTATTCCGCTATGAACCATACCACAAAATCTCATTACTTGACTTTCACAGAAAAAATGAATATCTATACCATAAATATTTTCTGTGGTCATTTCAGATTTGTGATAGGATCATTGCAATGTATTTTAAATGGAACACAAAAAGTCTGTGTAGGAAAATCCGATATACCTTTCCCCATTTACATTGTCATATCTGATGCCTTTGGTTCACCTCGGTCACTTTCCACTGTAGCCACACAACATTTTTTTTTGAATGGCTTTCATATCGGCAAACTTGTATTTTAGATTTCATGGTCTAGTTAACGTTCTGTCACCTACATCCTTGCAAGGCATTGCTTTTCCTCTCAGTACTTTTTGTTGCTTTTTTCATTCTGTAGTATACAGGGACATTCTATTGCCTATGTTCTTTCATCTTGGTACCAAATTTGATTATTATTGACCTTATTGTGCGTTACATTGTCAATTTTTCTCCAGTTTTAATTTGCTGTTTGCCATGAAATCTGGTGAATGCTTGTAAGGAAGTTGTTTTTTTTTTTGTTTTTTTTTTATTAGCAAGGCTATTGAACAGCAAATTAATCTGGTGTAATACATCTGGCTGTTTTGTATGTATTTGGCAAAACTTACTTATAACTTTGCAATGCTTTTCTGTTCTGTTTTTCTGTTTACTAAACTTCTAGCTTACTTTAACTAGTTTACTGTAGACTTGACATCTTGCATAAAAGGAAGTTGATTTCTTGTTTCTAAAGCTGATTGTTAAGCTTGTGGGTTTTACAAGAATAGAAACCTCTTCATGATGATCTGTATTATTCCATAGAACGGAACCTAAATCCAAAGGCAGCCTGTCTGAAAAGGCGTGAAGAGGAAAAGGTATCGGGTGTGGACCCACAAATTGGCCTTGCTGGGGGACTTCCAGGTCTTGGGGACTCACATAATTCAGTGGGACACATGTGAAGTGAGTCATTTTATATATTTTTTTTTTTGTATATTATATTTTTACATATGTATGGTTCCTTAGATTTTGTTTCTAATCTGTATTGCTTTACACATTTAGCTGTCCTTAAAATAAACAAAACATTTCTCTGCTAGGTGGTGTATCGCCTAACCAGCAGCTGTATAAAAACAGTTTAAAATGTGTATATATTTTTTTCTTATTAAAATAACACATGGCATATGGATATTTTTTAATTCTTGTAGGCCTCATTTGCTTATTCACACCTCATGCGGTTTTTCAGGACAAAAACACAAAGTATCTATTTTTCACTGTTAAAACAAGGGAATATTGAACAGACTGCATAGGCAGATTTAATATCTTGCAGGCTGCATTTTGATTAATGGCTCCATACACCGTATCTAAGCACTTTTGGAAGGCTGCATTTTAAACAGGAGGGACAATAGTCTGCTTTTAACTACAAAAAAGGTCAACTTTACAAAGTACTTGTCACAGAAAGACAGCTAAATCTTGTACTCCCTACGCAGTAATTAAAAAAATATTTGGCCTTCGAGCAAGAAACACCAGAATGCTTTTAATCAAAAATCGACAGTGTATTTCATCAAAACAAGTCGAGAAAATATTTTAGACTCCATGCACAGTATGAGAGCACTTTTACTAGGCCGCAGTTTTTAAGAAATCACAGGTAGAGTATGCTATTTCTGAGACAGTAGTGTCAAATATTCTTGATTGCCAGAGCAGTGGAATATGGAGAAAACTATGAGGCACCGTGCATGATTTACCCTGCAGCAAATACTATAAATTTTGCAGCTGAGGCCCAGCTGTAGAAAAAATGTGTAGCACCTCGTAGTGCCTGATTTCCATAATGCAACAAAAACTGTGAGGCGCAGTGCAGAAAAAAATACCAAATTTGCAGCTCAAGCTCATCTGGAAAAATTGTGTTGCAGTGCCAGAGCACCAGAAGAGGGCAGTAAATGCAGCATGAGATGGTAATGGTGGCAGGCCAGCAGCAGTGGCAGGCAGGATATGGTAATGCTATAAGATATATTAATGTTGTTGGGATTCCAAGAAAAATGTATTTGTTTAGCCTCAGTTGCAGGGATTTTGGACTTTCTGCTGATCCAGGGCTGCTTCATTTTTAAAGTGATCTAGTTGGCTGTGCCAGGGAACAGGCAGATTTCTTTGTCACAAACTACCCACTGTGCTGAATGCCCTCTCTGACAGCACACGAACTACAGGGCAGGTTAGCAGCTTGATTGTTTACCAGACAAGGTCTGGCTAGTTGCGCATCTTGGACACCCAAAAGTCTATTTTAGGGTGTCCACATCTGCCATGGACTTGAGGTGATCTGAGATCAATATATTTTAGTCACTGCCTGTGACTACTGCCAGCAGCCAGGCCTGGCCAATGCACTCAAAGAAACAACTGAAAAGCCTTGCTGGGGCAGTCACCTTTCACTGTTTTTCTTGCAATTGGTGCATTTTTGGGGGTTTGGCAGGATGAGATATACCCTCAATTTCCTGATTGGAAGGGGTGAAATGTAACACTGGAAGCCTGTCCTCCTCCTCCTCCCCGCTCACACCCAAACCTCCTTGTGCTCCCTTGCCTGCTGTTGCTTCACAGGGATGGAGCCAGTTGTGTAAAGATCCCTCAGGCCCTGAGACGGCAGCAATTCATCCTCCTGCTGCTGTGCCTCCGATGGCCAGTATATTACGTAGCACAGTAGGAATTGTGTTGATGATCTTCTATTTGGAGAAACCCCAATAGAACACACAAAAGAAAAAAAATGTAAGGGGGGGGCTTGGCAACTACTTGTTATGAATAAATTGACAAGTGTATTCCCTGAGACAGGATATAATTTATACTATGAGCAAGACAAATTCATAAATGTGACTTTAAAGGAGAACTATGGGGTCAGTGTTTTTCCCCATAGGGTAACGGAAGGACACAAACTAGCGTCCTCCCGTTACCCTAAGCTCAGTATACCGCGAGCTACAGCTCGCGGTATACTGAGACGCCGGAGCGGATCCCGACATGGACGTCGAGATCCGCTCAGCTGCGTGAGGGACAGCTGGCTCTGCCCATCTAGAGCGCTAGCAAGCTATGTATGCCCCCTCCCCGTCCTTTCGTCCACTCAGCGCTGGTGGATCGGAGAGGGGAGGGGGAAATCTCTGCAGGGAGCAATGACTGATAGTCACAGCTAACTGCAGGGAGACGATCAGGAAGTGAGCGGATCAGCGGCATGTTTCTGCTCACTTCCCGCTCAATAAGAGCCGATTTGTGACAGCTTCTTTGTCACAGGCCGGCTCTAACTATGAGGATGAGGATTTAATGGAATAGACTTCTATGAATATTACTGCATATGAATGGCCAGGCAGCCTGCTGAGCAAAAGTAAACACAAGGTTATCTCTATGGCTTGTGGGTTATAAGAAAAAAAGGGGCGACACTGGGTTACATCTTCTTTTGTAAAACCCTTTAGAGTTAGAAATTGAATATTAGCAGGCTTATGTTGGTCAACAATTGGTCATGACACCTAGCAGACATTTACATTGGTACCGCCAATACTGACATTCGGCCAACATTTCATGAATTATTTCCCTTTCCCTTCTCTCAACTAGCCAAGAAGTGGCAGGATACGAATCTAGAATCATACCCTCCCCCGTCCGTTCCGCCAGTCAGCGCTGGCAGAGCGGGGAGAGGGGAATCCAGCCCCGCCCCCTGTCACGACAGAGAGCCGTGACAGGATCGAGAGGTGAGCGAACCCGGTATGTGTTCGCTCACCTCCCGATCTACTGAGCCGACCTGTGACTGTCTCATTGTCACAGGTCGGCTAGAACTATGAGGTGAGTGGAAATGACTCATCTCATAGTTCTCCTTTTTTTTAAAAAAAAATTGATGTAGTTTGTTAGAAGGGTGCCCTAGGTTGTAATATAATCAAGGCTTTGCGGCACATTTTTTCATAATGCCAAACTTATATTTAAATATTCAAAGTTTCTGGGCCAAGTGCATAAAGCTAAACCCCAGGCAAGCTGCTAAATAAGCAAAACTACATGTACAATAAATGGAGACTGTTTTATCTGTGAAATATTGCTAAATCTCTAATCAATGTTTTGTTACCCAAGAAAGCACCTTTTCTGGACCGCACAGCCAGATCTTCAATAATCCTTTTACAGCAGTAGCACAGTTTTATCTAGAACACTCAAAACATACACCTACCTGCTTACTAGAAGGAGAAAGTGTATAAACTTGAAGTTTTTTTTGCTCCTCGTGCATTGATTCTCCTGTCAGCATGTTCACTCTAACAGCATGTGTACTGCAAAAGAGTTTGGATAGCTCAGAGTTCTGTATTTCTCTGTCTTGAGTGCTGTGTACTGGTTATAAAGGAAAATAATATCAAGGTTATTACTAGGTGCTTAAATTGGTTGCATTTAGAAAATACATTTTATCGAAGACATGACTGCATTCCTTTTTGTGTTTTTTACATCTGACTGAAGTTCAGGTTTAAAGCCTACCTCCAGGCCAGTTTTTATTTTAAAATTTTAGAATGTTGTTTTCATCTGTGTTCCTATTGGAGTTATTTCCCCTTTTATTCCTATCATGACAGATGGCAATAAAAACATGACCTAGACTCTGACACTTCCCTACTCTATCCAAAGTTAAATAAAATGTTTGGCTGGACTTGGGCTTTAAAGTGAGCTTGTGACCAGGTTATGGAAATGTACGTATTTATATTTACGTAGAGCTGCAGGTACTGTTGTGCAATTCATCTTCAAAGTTAATTAAAAAAAGCTAGCTAATTTTTTAGCTGATGCTTTTTTTTTTACAAATCTATATTGTATACATTTCCCAATGTAACTTTAATTTTCTCTCAACAGGTTCGTTGTGCTTTACGGAAATTGTTCAGTTTTTCTCCTTTTTATATATACTTATAAATTCAAGATGTGTTTTACATTTTTATTGTTTGGACAAATTTTAAAAACATGGATGTTTTTGTGGCCTTGATTACAATTTCCTGATAAGTGGACATACAAAATTTCCAGTGCAGGACAAAATAAAATATAAAGACGAAAAAATAATCAGATTGACATCTCATCTTTGGATTGCTGCTTAAGGAACAAGAAGAGAAGTCAAGAGCAACTTGCCTTAACAAAAAGAAAAACACATGAACTTATTTAATCTTGGTGGAAATTGTAGAATGTCATCCAGATGCTGACGAATTGTTCAGCTCTGGGGGGTGAAATGTTTTTTTCATGTGCCTATACTAAAAAAAAGTGACTTCTTATCCTGCTGTGTGTGGGAAACTGAAATGTATACATAAAGAAAAAGTAGTGCATTCATGTTCATGAAGACTTTTTTTTTTCTTTTTTTTAACTTAGAACAAAGTATTTTTTTTAGGTTTTGTTTTTCCATTTTTTTAATAAAATTGAGAACAACATTTTTCTACAAAAAGAACCACAACCCTCTTGGTATATCCTTGTCTGTAACTTCCCTATAATGTAATTACTGCCCAACCTAAGAATGGGACTCTGGTCTGAAACATTTTAAAAGCAATTTGGCTTCTTTTGGAAACTTTTAGTAATGTCTTTGGAGTTGTACATATATTTCTAATCTTCTGTTCCTATGACTTTTTAGTGTTTCTATCAGCCGCAAGTTATCAATTTACTTGACTTTGTCAATAGCATTTACCTAATTTGTGAGTTCTGTAAAAGCTTTTGAAATATGCATTGAGGTTTATTGACAATGTTCACATTTGAGCTTGATGCCATGGGGTTCGTTCTACCATTGCCTGTGGTTAATTAGAGCATGTTTAATAGATACATCATTCCATTGTCTCTATATTCCCACTTGACAAAGAAAAATGAACATGCTTGAGAAGGCTAGGTCTAAACGTTCCAGACCCTGTACAAGAATACTGGGAGGCAAAAAAGGTAATCAAATACATTTGCAAAGTTGATAATTGTAATGCCCTGGCCCAGAATATTGGCTTAATCTAAGTTTATGAAGGTGGAATTACTCTTGATGGAGCTTGCTGGTGCTTGCAAAATGCCAATGTTTTTGATGTCAATATGTTGCATTCTTGTCTTAATCCATGGAGGGACTAGTGAGGACACACACAATTTTCCTTCCAACACAGAGGTTGTGCTCCCCTTCTTTCTGTGCATTACTGTGAACTTTTACTTCAGTTTAAACATTTTAATAGCAAAATCACTGCCTAATAGCAGACACAATAGGATGACTGTGATTTACCTTTACTACTCTAGTAACAAAGTGAAATTCAACCAGAAAGAGGCAGAATAAAGGCTTTCATGGTTAATTAAGGTAATAGCAGGAATCTTGTGATGTCTCCTCTTAGACTGTACTTTTACAAGTAAAGTTACACATGAAGTACAGGTTCACTTTCAAGCAGGGTCAATATTGGTGACCAGTAAATTAGTTGTGCACTGTTCAGGAAAATATTTTCCTCGGTGTGCTTAACCTACCAATAGTTTAAAGCCCTTTTGAAATATTTACGGTGTTCCTTTTTTATTCTGTTTTTTTCTTTTTTGCAGGTGCATTGCTATATACCTAGAAAAAGGTTGTTAAAATTAAATTTGTAAGAGCATTTCACAGACTTCTCTTATAATCTGTTATTATTCTACTTAATGTAGACCACTACATTGTCTGTGACTTTATATTGTTTTATCAGATAAAACACCATGCTGAGAGTTGTATTTCTTATGTCTGTGCAACATGCCATTGTAATGTTGCAGAAGTCAACCTCCACGTTTCTATGCTTAATGGGGCTTCTAAAGACCCTTGGTGTGAGTGGGTATCGTTGGAAGCCTCTCCAAGCATCAACATACTTGGGAGAGGCCCCCTCCTTACTACCATGGGTGAAGGATAGGTTGGTTGCCTGAATTCCATCCAGCCTCATGGGCCCAGAAATATCCATGCCCACCTTGCATCTAGGGTAGTTACACTGTAAACCATGCTTTTACTTTAATGTATTCCATTTAAAAGCCATACTAGTGATCATTAGGTTGCATGACATGGCTGCTTTACAAAGAGAATATCATGCAGCCTGAGGTTTGTTTTGCTTTTAAGAATATCTTGGTGTTATCTCAGCCATAAATGTAGTAAATGTAGCACTGCATTGAAATCCCTTTTATTTTGTAGATATGTTCTGGAAGGAGTGCATCTGGGATTTTGGAATATTTTTGATTTCTAGAAAACTGCCTTGAACCATTCATAAGTGTTTATATATAAATATATATATTTAGACAAATGTTCTTGTTTTAAATGAATTTATACATAGGAGGGTATAGGGACATTTAAGCAGCTTTGCTGAAATTTTAAATGTAACCTACTTTAGCGTAGCCCTATACTAAAGTGTTATCTTAAAGCTTTGTTAACATTTTTGTGGGGGTGCCTAAAGAGTAACAAGGGTTGGAATACATACCTTTTTAAGTGAAAAAAAATCCTAGACCAAGCTGCCACTTGTGCTGATCTGGCCAAAGGCCTGGACAGTTGACCATGTGACCTGTACTAAAGAGGGCGATCAGCTGATCTGAACAGTTTCCTTTTTAAAGTGTACCTGTAATGAGAGAAATTTTAGCTCTAACTTCCAAAGTCTTGAAACCAGATACAGCTAGGTAAGGACTATTTTAGACAGAGTTCAGAAATGACAGAATCCCATATGCATTTCATAAAGTGTATGTTTTAACGTTAACTAGTTGGGATGTGGCGGCTGACATTGCTTACCTCTTTATGAAAATGCCAGTCTGTTATGTTGACCCACTAGGTTTAACACTGACTCCTTGACTCAGAACTCGTATTAGAAAAGATGGAAGCCCTAATCTGTAAACTTATTCCATGTCAGTTTAGCTGGAGGGTCAATATGATGGCCAGGCAGCTACTTCCATATTTTCCCAATGTCAGGTTTCCTTTTAATCTGATATATAGCCAAACTTTTTGGTTACTTGATGGACAGAAAAGGGAGTCTGGAGCAAGGTTTGTTTTTTTTTTTTTTTTTCTCAGGCTTGGTAAGTATTCAGCCCTGTTGTAAAATCAAGCTATAAAAGATTATGCAAGACATGGCTTTAAGGGACATTAAAGTATAAGACTGCTTTAAACGGTCTCTTTCTGGCAACTGTTCCAGTAATGTAGTCCCATGCCCAGGTAGTCATTGATTTTAGACAAGGGATGTTAAAGTTCCAGTTAAGATATGGAACACTGGGACATTCTCATTCTCATTTTCTCAAGAAAAATGCATTAAAATATTAAAGACCAGATTTCAGATAATTTATGAATATCTCACCATTCCAAGTCAGTCAGAAAAGAAATGTGAAAAATGTATTCTTACAAAATACCCAGAAAAAACAAAGGAGAATTTCAAACCTACATCAAGAAATGTGAGTCTAACGTGGCCCGTAGAGTGCCTCAAATATTTCTTAATGGTTTTTCAATTTTTTTTTTTTTTCTTTTCTAAATATTATTTTGTACAAGTGTCAAACTCAGCTGGCTGGATTATTTGGAATTTATAAGAATAATGAACCGCAATCCCAACCTTTTTTTAAATGATTTTTTTTTTTTTTTTTTTTTGCGAACTGTCCTGTATATACCTGTGTTGTAGCAATACATGTAAGCTTTTATAACTATATAACTTCTTGAACCTGAGTCTTTCAGATGTTGTATACTGATGAAAGAGTACAAAAAAATAAAATAAAGTTTGTAATAAAGTTTTACACTTTTCTGACATGTAGACATTGTTTCTATTTCTAATTAGAAACGTGTTCATTTTTAACCTTTCACATGGGGGGGTGAGAAATTACACAGAAGGCTACTTAAATGTGAAAAAGTAAGAAGGTGTTCATGGTGACCAGTCAGATGTGTTAAATTTTCTGGAGAATGAACAGTGGAAAATTGTTTACTGTGAGCAACTTTTACTTTCCCTTTTTTTTTTTAATCACATTTTTACTTTAGTCCAAGAAGTATATTCTTCAAACCAAGTACGTGTACTGATACTTTTCCTTACAGTGACATTAAAGTCTAAAAAAAAATTCCCTCCTCCCAATGATAATGTCAGCACTTATATTAAATTATGTCTCTTAATCCGTCTTCTTTCCTGACATTTTCAGCCTTCTCTCCAGCACTGCTGTGGGTCTCTGATCCAGCCCTGACTCCTCTGTGCTTGCTGGCACTTCCTGTCCCACAGTGTCGGCATGCTGTCCACAGACTTGCCTTGTGGCTCTCCTCGTCTCCTGGCCGGAAATCTGAACTGCGCATGTGCCCGCCCCAAGATCCTTTGCGGCCGCAAGATTTTTCAGATTTTCGGACTGGAGCGCGCGGCGAAGACACATGTAAGTTTAAACCCGTTTCAAAGGGGTTTTTTTTTCTTTCAAAGTTTTTGCATATATCTACTGCTTGCTAGCAGTAGATAAATGCAACACCTGAGGGTTTAATAACCCTTTAAGTACTTGCTGGTACTGATGTTGTTTTTTTTTGGCCATGTGACAGTTTTTCTAAACAAAACAGACTAATGATTTTAGGATAGTTTCTTAGAATCATGAAGAAAGAACTGTTACTCAAAAAACATTTAGAAAAAAAAATGTTTTACACAAAGTTGTGAAAGCTCAAGCAAATAAAGTGGTCCAAGTGCAGTGTGAAGGATTAAAGGGGGGGGCGGCGGCGGCAACAACGTCTGTGGTTATCAGGGCCCTCTTCCTCCTATCTGGCCTGAGGTTCCAGCAATATAGAATAATACCATCAGCTATAGAGGTCTACAAATCCCAACATTACAATATACAGCAATGCAGAATATTAGCAAGCACACACTGGCAGGAAAGCAGTGAAAGAAAGATTAGTGGGTGTACAGAGGAGGGCACCCTGGCAGAAGCTGGTATAGTGGAGGGTAGACCTGAAGCAGTGAGGTGTATGCAAAGAAGGGCACACTGGCAGGTAAGGGTGGGTTGGCAGCAGGGAGGGTACGCACCTTGCACTAACCTTATACTTGGTTCTTATAATCCCCGACCATCTCCTTCCTAAATTTTGTACATGGTTCCAGTGCTCAAAGGGTTTCCTGGGATCAGATCACATGCAGCACAAGGTCCCCAGCAAGTGTGGGACCTTTATGCTTTATTTGAATTAAAGCGCTGATATCTGTTTTTGGTCTTTGTGCATTTGCTCAAGCAAATGCTAATATCAGCACCAGTATCGATACTGGTGTTGGTGCATCACTACTTTAAACCTTTCACTAAAAATTTAGAAAAAAAAAAAAATACAGCTGGTATTAAAAAAAAAAACAATTTTACAAAAGCTTTTTTCTAGTTTTGGATTGAGTGGTGATGAATTAGAACTCCTGTTGGGTTTTAATGCTATCTAAGGCTCTGCT